TTGTTGTACTTGTTGATAATAGGAATGAGAACATTAAAAAGCTATAAACTCAAAGTAGATCAAAATGAAAAAATATGACTTAAATATTTTTTGTACTTCTACATTTGTGCCAAATTAGAAAGAAATCGGAGTGTAACTTTTGAGTAGGTTTTTGGCTTGTCAGTCAATTGCTCTCAGTTGCCTGAACGCAGCTGTATGCTCAGACGAATATTTTCGGTGGCAGTAACAAAGACATTATTTATCGTCAGCGAATTTTTCGGCCTGCCTTCCTCCCCCATTCGGTTACTCGAACTGAAATATTCTTTTATCTGTTCCGTATACGCGATGAAATCGATAAACGTTGCGTGCGCATTAGGTCATGGATCACGGCGGTGGAGCGCAGACAGACGCTCGCTTAATTAATAAAAGCGACGCGTGATCGCGATTCGCAAACAATGTCGGAGAACGCATGTGCGCTATCGATACCGAGAGCAGCGGTCGCGATTGCGTCGTGCCGTGTTTTATGATCGCGTGCACTTTCGCGGATCACGGCCGCGTTTGAGCGAGTGCTGTTTCATGCACGAGCGGAAATCATTGGCAGGCCCTGCGCGATAAAGAGAATTTCCTTCATTCCGCGAAGAACGCGAGCTACGATTGATACATACGCGATGAATTATGCCGGTCGTCATAAACGTGATGAGATTTTCCAGCCCCAAGTCCGGGACGCTTCCTGAACGTGTCAAATTGGTGGGGGGAAAAGATCCTTCTTAAAATTTTATGTATAATATATATGTATGGATATATAGCAATATTTTATTTATAGATATATGAAAAATAATTTAAGGGCAATGAATGCCTATCAATGAGGGTAAAGATTGTTGTTGAAATAAAACTGTTGTTATCCTCATTTAACCCTAGAACCCTAAACACATAAAAAATTACGTAAATCCTAAACATGAATGAATTTTAACCGATATATTTTTATTTGCCCACAACTTTCATAAAAATGACCGAAATTCAATGGTTTTTTTCAATCGACGTAGAAAACATCAAGGAATATAAATCTATTAATGTTTTCGCGATTCAATAAAGTTGAAAAAAGTTATAATAAAAAATTATATTATTATTAAGAAGTTATATATATATATATATATATATATATATATATATATATAATGTATGTTTTTAAAAATTATATTATTATTAAGAAGTTATATATATATAATGTATGTTTTTAAAAATAGTAATATTTGAAAAGTTGATCTGGGTAAATCTTGTCCACATCTTTGTCCAGAGCACTCAGATTAAACTTTAAAAAGAAAAAAACGAAACTGCTACACTTGTATGAGAGTTTTTTTTCTTTTTGAGAAAATTTTTCTTTTTTTGTCAGAAGCATTTTGGAGATTCTTTGGGACCGGGACAGTTTGGCTGAATCCGGGACAAATCGGCGTCACGGATAACACTTAAGAAAATTCGGGACAAAAGATGAAAAACTGGGACTGTGGCGAGGAAAACGGGACGTCTGGTCGCCTTATCGTTACGCGATCGCCGGAAGCGATCGATCTGAAAACGCGATCATGTTCCTCCTCCACTTCCTTCGCGGAAGCTTTTATGCCGACTCACGATTAGAGTTGGGTAACGACTAATTAAGCGTCGTTAGCTCGGGAAAAATTCGTTTTGCACTTCGACGGAATGTCCATCGTGCACTTCTTCCCGATATTCCACGACTCGCAGTGGCGTCACGCGCTTAGAACGAAACGTGACGAATGACAACGCGTTGTCCCTCGGAGTTATCTGACTTTGTTATTTTACCTATTGTTTATTTATCGCGTGCTCGCACGTTTCGCCGGATTCGAGGTTGTGCCAAAACGTCGTCGGCAGTTTCCTTTCGGCGAAACTCAGCCGCGACACAATGGAACGGATATTTCGAACAATGCTAAGGCACTCGTAATTGCGTTTTAGCACGTCGTCTCATCTTTGCATTAACAGCCTGGATACACGTGGTCGCGTGTACCACGTGCGACGCCGCGCGACCCTCACGTAATGGCAGAACGGAATATCTCATTATTGTATTGCAATTTGCCTTACGTGTCGTACAAAATTATGATGCACGTGATAACACGTAGAAACAAGAATAGTGATGCCGCGCGTGACGCACGTGGCATACGCGGCCGGCCGTCGCTTTTTCGTTCGAGAGCAATATGGAATTGAAGTGTAATTAGTTTTTGTTCTTCTATTTTACTACACTGTTTTTTGTTATCCTAGTCTCGCTCAGTTGCTGTTATTATTCCCTCTATAATTTGCGTAGAAAAAATTTTATTCTAACTAAAAGATCATTCTCGATTCCTTATTCTTTGTTCGAGTCTGATATAGAATTGAAGTGTAATTATGACTATTTTTGTTACCCTACACTGAAAGAAAGAAGCATTTGAAGATCAAAAATATTTATTCGGGATACGCACTAATAACATTTGAAACTATTCTTTTGATGGGATACAATTTTTTAGTTCTAAACAGAATAAACTATTGCTTTTGTTTTAAAGATGTGTTTTAGGAAAAAAAAAATATATATATATATTTCTATATAAATATATAATTATAAATATATATTTATATAAATATATATTTCTTTATTTGTGGAAAAATTTTTTTCTCAATGTAAACATATTTTATATAAGTACAAGTAAATATATATTACTAGTTTTCATCAAATAAACATTTCTTATTTTTTAGATATTTTTCTCTCAGTGTAGCTTGACACACTTACTCGTTATTCTCTTTGTAGTTTATATCAAGGTGCTTCTCACGATATTGACGTGGTAGTATTCGTTAATTTATCAATGTCGCTGTGTATCGAGTCTCCCCTATGTTTTACTACAGTGTTCGGCGTTTCTCGATAAAAATGTATTCTAGTGGCCAACCAAATTCGATCGTACAGCTCGTAACGTTCTGGTCGTTGCCCTTTTCACGGCGCCGAACGTCGCGACGCAGACTCTATCGAGGTTGGATACTTAACCGTCCCAAAAATCGATAGAAAGCTACATCAGCGACGCGACAGAAGCTTCCATTTGGCCGAAAGTTGCACGAAAGTGCCGCATGTTACTGTATTATTTTTAGGAACGGTCAGGATTGCCTCGAGATTCGCGGCACCCTCAGGTGATCTCATTGCCTTGCTTCTATGTTTGTTTTCATAATGATGTAATCTCGACCATAAGTAATGCCGCGAAATCACAAATAATATTTATTCTTTATCGTAATATTGTCTGAGACAAAGCTGATAAGAAAGTCGTACTCAAAAGACAATCAATAGACTAAATTACGTTCTACAAGAAACCACTTGGTGAATAAATGAAAAAGCTTATCGTGACGCGTTTATGAATTTACCGACATCAATTGTTTCAAGTTTATCGACTGCTGCAGCATACCGACTGTTGCAAGCTGATTTGAAGTATATATATGTCGATACAAGCGTTATTCGCGGCCGATATGTTCCTCTGCAACATAATTTACCATGGAACGATAAGAGTTTGTCGGTTGTAACTAGAGAGAAGCCTGAGAGCGGCTACCAGCTTGATTTTAATGATCGAGCTAGGCGCATTTTCGAGACGCCATCTAACAAAATGCGTCTTTATTACGTTCGTTAAGCGTATTTTCGCAATGGTAACGATAAAATGCGCCTGGTTCGTGCCTGTGTATTTTTCTACAATATAGTAAGTTAGAAAAGGACATCCTCTGTTCTTGTTTTACCACTGATGAACGTCCAATCGCTCTGTTCTTGTTTTATCACTGATGAACGGACCGCGCGACGTAGGCACGAAGCGAGCTAGCGGCGAACTTATCGCAAAGCTAGATCATCTCTCATCAGTTTCGTCACGAGACTGATTCAGAATCATCAAAGATTCAAAATCATCAAAATCACATTATGAAAAAGATGATACCTTTCGATAAACAATTCCCGATCGAGAACCCGAATTGCGTCAGTCGAATGGTAAGCTAATTAACGATTGAAATGTGTGTTTATTTTGAAAGATGACCCGAATTGCGTCAGTCGAATGGTAAGCTAATTAACGATTGAAATGTGTGTTTATTTTGAAAGAAAGATGAAGACAGATATACTCCATACTATTATACGCATTAAATTCGTGTTTCGCATGTCTAGACTTGGCAAGTATGCCTTTTTTATTCTCAAGCTAAATAACATCACTCAGGACTCTCGTATGAAAAAACTTATCTTGGTATAAAAAGATTGTACTTAGCGTTTGAATATATGCGTCAAGCCCTTGGTTCACAGCCTTGGTCCAAAATTATTTTTGGAATAATCGACTGTGGTTAGTCAATTTGTGCTTAAAGCAAGCTCCTTAAAGTGAGCTTATGAACCAAAACTTACGACGTTGTAAATTTCGTTGCTGAACACGATTATGTCGTTCTCGAATTCTCGACATTCTCTGATTCGACGAGCTAGTTATATCATCAGATAGTTAGATAAATAGATTGTTGGATATCAACACTCACTGCTGCAAATGTTCCACAGACTTCATCGACAGCATCCTCGGCTTGCACGTGGAGCACCGATTCTTCCACTCCATTCTTCCTAACTAAACGATTCAACTGAACTGCCGTTCTATTAGCGCGCATTCTAAACTCGACTATTAAGTTCGACCAGTGCAGCATAGATGGCGCTAAGTGTCGCTTCCAGTCTACTCGCAGTGGTAAGCCACTACTTGTTACAATTCAATGTGTGATAGCCGCGGATATTTTTTTATAATTGGTGCTGATCAACGTCGATCGGCAGCTGTGTGTGATCATGGCCTCTGCGGTGTTTAGTGCGTCTGGAGTTAGTAAGTTCGATGTAATGTTTTATTGCGATCTCAGCCATGCGTAACATCACCTCGATATACATCCCGGAGCTCAGTAACTACGTTTGTTTTGGTTAGGATTGCAGTTGACTCTGTTCCCGATAACGGAATAATATAGAGTATTGGTTTCAAGAGATACGCGAGTGAAACAATCAATAATCCAACAAATAACATATGTTATGTAATATCGTTAAATCAGATCGTGCATAATGTATAGTGTAATTTTGTGTGCAAAATACCTTTTCGTTATTTATTATGTGATTTGAATCGTGTATTTGCGCGCTCCGTTATAGAAACCGTGTGTTATTTAAATAAGTAGAAGAAATATTGTTATTTGATAACGATTTAAGTGCAGTTGGTTAACTTTCTGTTTTGTGAATATTGATCGTTAAACGTGAGTGTTTATTACGTGATTAGTATGAAATAGTATAAATATACATAGTACAGTACAGTATAAATATATTTGTACTTTGCCCTCACGCCATATACATATCTCCTTAGTTGCATTTTCTTTTATATCGTTTCATTTCTTCTAAAATTTTTAGAGTTATTTTATTTTCACATTCTAATTGCTAAATATATAAAAAGATAAAGCGAGAAGAAGAAATAAATTTGAGCTCTGCCAATAAAAGTTATTTTTATTATAAATAAAAATGTATTAAAGAAAGATAACTAGTTTAGGAAAGAGTTTAGAAGTAATTGGTTTAGGAAAGAGAGAATAAAAGATTGTGAAAACCGCGATTTTTTTCAAGGTTAGAGTTCACGTTCGAGATATCGATAAGTTAAAAATGCAATACAAATATTAAATAATCTTAAAAAATTTGCACGTGCATAATAAATATAACTTCACACATATATTTCATCCCTTTAACTTTTTATTATGTAACAAAAATACATTTTATTGTGTGCTGGTACTTTTAGGAAGTAAAAGTACACAAAACTGTTCTTTATAATATTTTGACATAACTATACATTCTAATTTAATCTGTTATTTGGCAGTACAGAGGCTACAAAGAGTCTTCCAGAGAGCTTACTCGGATGCCAAATTTCCTCAGATTACGACTCATTACACAGTAGTGCCTAGGGAAACAGATACAAGATGGAAAGGTAAAATTTCCTCAGTTTTTGTTGTTTATTGACATAATACAAATAACATTACAAATATTTTTTTATGTACTAGAAATAAATATGGAGAGGTATGTGGACGAGACCGACATTCTCATTGTTGGTGGTGGTCCAGCTGGGTTATCGGCAGCTATTCAGGCTCGTAGACTGGCAGAGAAGCATGGCAAAGAGCTCAGAGTTACTCTCGTTGAGAAAGCATCCACTATTGGTGGACATATCCTCAGTGGTGCTTGTTTAGATCCAGTAGCTTTAAATGAATTGTTTCCAAACTGGAAAGAATTGGGTGCACCGCTGACTACTCCTGTAACAGAAGATAAATTTGCTTTTCTCACTGAAAAGAAGAGGATATCTATCCCTATTTTTAAAGGAATGCCATTGTATAATCATGGAAATTATATAGTAAGGTAAGACAATACTGAACAATCTTGTAAATATATAAGTAATAACAAATCTGTATCTGTATTCTGATATTAAAAGTCTTAGGTTTACTTATCACCTGGAACTTGTCTCATGTGTGTAAAATACTCAAATTTTTATTTAAAGTTAGATCCAAATTTTATAGTTGGGTTATGATAAATGTGACATTTATGTATATCTGTGATCGCAATTTAAATGAAAACTCTCATATCTCTCTAACTTTGAATTCAAAATCTCAGTTTCTAAGTATTTAAATTCTGAATACTGCAAATATATGTCACATACATTATGTGATTCAACTGAAAAACTCAGATCTAACGCTAGATTTAAATTTAAAAATTTCATGTAGGACAAGTTTCAAGTAACAACTATTACGAACCTTAGATACTGAAAGTACTAAAAGTTAAAAGTATTAAAAGTTGATACTAAAAATCTACATCTTTGCATAGATTAGGCCACGTTGTGGCATGGCTCGGGGAGCAAGCTGAAGCTGCTGGCGTTGAGATGTATCCTGGCTATGCAGCGGCGGAAGTTCTATATCATGAAGACGGATCTGTCAAAGGGGTGGCCACGAACGACGTTGGTATTGCTAAAGACGGCTCGCCCAAAGACACGTTCGAAAGAGGCATGGAGCTTCACGCGAAATGTACCATATTTGCAGAAGGCTGTCATGGTCATTTGACGAAACAGGTGTCAAAGAAATTTAATCTCAGGAAGGACTGTGAGCCACAGTCCTATGGCATTGGGTTAAAAGAGGTAATTATCACTGAGTTGTAGTTCAAGATTGTGCATAATACGAATGTATTATAAAGTGAGACGTGTGTCTTGATAGGTTTGGGAGATAGAGCCAGGCAAACATAGACCTGGAGCGGTCGAGCACACAGTCGGCTGGCCACTTAACAAGAATACGTACGGTGGATCGTTCCTGTATCACTTGAAAGAAGAAACTCCTCTAGTCGCTGTAGGTTTCGTGATAGGCTTGGATTACAGTAATCCCTATCTGCATCCGTTCAAAGAGTTTCAGAGATTTAAGCAACATCCAAGTATTAGACCAACGTTTGAAGGAGGAAAAAGGTCAGTGCCCCTCTAATAGACATCGTTGACGATGTATTTCGAATACATACTCTTTCATGTTCTTCATGTTCGTTCTATTTTTAATTTCAGGATAGCCTACGGTGCTAGAGCCTTAGTAGAAGGCGGTTTCCAGTCCATCCCTAAACTTCAATTTCCCGGCGGTTGTCTCGTCGGATGCACAGCAGGTTTCCTAAATGTGCCAAAGATTAAAGGGACGCACAACGCCATGAAGAGCGGCATGTTGGCTGGAGAAAGCGTCATCGAAGCGATTATAGACGCGGAAAGTAATACTTCGTCGACGAAGGGCTTGGAACCGAAAACATACACGGATAAAATAAAGAACAGTTGGATCTACAAAGAACTAAAAGCCGTGAGAAATATAAGACCGAGTTTCCATTCCTCTCTTGGATTGTATGGCGGTATGATGTATTCAGGTTTCTCTATGTTGGTGGGTGGAAGGGAGCCGTGGACCTTCTCACACGGAGGTAAATATTGAAATGGTTCTAATGAAACTCGAAATGATTATTTCCTGCGAAAATATAAACGCGATAATCTGTAATATTCGTACCTTATGTTGCAGGTCCTGATTATACGAAATTGAAATCCGCAGCTGAATCCACGCCCATAGAGTATCCTAAACCAGACAACGAAGTATCCTTCGATCTTCTGTCGTCGGTAGCTCTCACCGGTACCAACCACGAAGCTGATCAACCAGCGCATTTAACTTTGAAGGACGACACCGTTCCAGTGAAGAAAAATCTAGCACACTTCGGTGGTCCGGAAGGAAGATTCTGCCCTGCTGGTAAGTCAGTTCATTGAATGATTGCGTGTCAGTTCCGCATAATTATATGCATGATTATATGCATAATTGCTTACAATCAGCACCATCTTGATCAAATCAGTTTTGTTAGGGTATTGCAAATACTAAATTGCTAACGTTGTTTATAGTACTTTACATTAATTTCATGTTGAACAAACTTTGCTTTTTGTGCGACCAATAAGCTAAGATCATCAGCCTTTTTGTAATTATTTTATGCTTCTTCATTATGATAACGTTTTTTTCACATCGGTGAATGGATATCTAAAAAGTGGATGTCTAAAAAAAATCTGAAAGGATATATTCCAAAGAAAGACGATTAATATATATATGAGAAAATCTATCACGTTTATATTTATCACTGTATAATTATGTTCGGTTAGGTTATTTTTTAACATTTATTTCTAGTGAGTCTAATTATGCTGAATACATTTAATTTCCTTCATAATTAAAAGCACAAAGAAAGAGATTTTATTTGAAGGAGATATGAAGATGAATTAAAAATTGTCATCTGAAAGAACTTATTTGAAAATTTTAAAATCATTACTTGCGTATCAACGTATATTAACAAATATCACGTATCAACTAATATTTGTATTTTATCACATAAATTCATCAATATTCGAATTTATGTCTCTTTTTACAGTTACTTCTGTCTATGTAGTTTTGTAATTTAATCGTTCAATACGATAGACAGATAGATATTTATTTCGTGAAGCGCTCGTTAATGCTAAAATTAATTTGCTTAAGAATGTTTTAGCTATTAGTGCAAACAGAGAAATTCAGCACACTCACAATGAATAAGTAGCACATTTACCGCATTGCAGAGCTTGATATTCAGCCGGTTTAATTTTACGCCCAACGCGCGCGTTACTGTCCTTGATTTATCTTGTTTTTGAATATCCAACGAACGACTATGAGGCAATTTATCTTGCGTTTTTCTCCGTAATTAAATTGCCCGCTATATATTCACTAAGCAGAAGTTAACTCCAACTTCTATATGTACGCGTAATCTGTTGTATCTGCAACGAATCCGATTTTCAACACTCGCATTTTACAGATGCTTTTATCGATCGCGACGTTTTGCTGTTCTTCGTAAAAATTCAGCTTACGCAAGCAAGAAATTATTCAAAAATTTACTCGTCCTGTGGATATTATTACGACGTGATCAATCCCGTACGCGATAAATTTCCGCAGTCTGCAGGCAATCTAGCTCTTTCCTCTTCCGCCCCTAGTCGCGTCTCCTCCCTTTTTCCAGTCTTGTCGGGGGTTTATCGACCGGTGTGTCCTTGAACCTGAGCCACCCGGACAACCCCCGCATGGCTAGACAACCCCGGACCAAGCTCAACTCCCAAAATCGAACAGCGCCCTGTAGCCAGCTCCGGCCAACAACCTCCGCCCGTCAGTTTATCCTTTCTCGCTATTTCATGTATTCCATTGTTAGTTCTGAAACAATGTAGGAAGCATATTCCAAATAACTCCACATCAGTTTGGAATATTTCTACAATTAATTATCGAACAAATTTTTCAAAATCTATTCTATTATTGTACTCCATTCTATTGTACGAAGCATTATTTCTATTATAGAAATAATGCTTCGTTATACAGACGAACTAAATCACGATAATCGAATTAGCCATTGCTTTCCGATAAAGTTTCGAGCGTTACATCCCATTTATCTAGATAATTTTACGTCGCTATTTTACGTCGGTATTTTCTCCTTTATCAAATCTCGCGAATAGCGCGAATCATTATCCCGGCGGAAGTATAATTCCGGCGTCGCGCGTAATCATAAGGCAATTGTGCATATCCAAGTTTAATAACATAATCTTATGGAAAGTCAATAAGGTGTTTCTGCTGCAATATCAGAAGTTCAGAGTTAACTCGCGTAATGGATAGCTCGCGCATTTAAAGGGTGGGATTAGAAGCATGTAGTCGGGAATGATAAGACCGCTATTGTCGCGAAAAAAGATTTTAGCGTGTTCATGTAATAACTTGTTTTTACATAGACACGACAGCCTGTCCATATTTCAGTAGTTTAACATTTAATTGCAGATTTTTTACGCAGAGTTGACATTTATTTTTCCTTTAGGGATATTATAGCGTGCTTATGTAAAATGTAACTTGTTTACTTAGAAAAACATAATCTTATTCTTAATGGAAATCCTCTTATGTATAGGCTGAAAGGGATTTTCTTAAAATCAAAAGGAAAATATTCCAATACTTAAAAAAAAACTAATTGCAAGGAGTTGTTTTATATATCCCATATTCTATGCATAAACCGAAAGAATATTCCTCTTCTAATGAAGCGAATGAAGTTAATCGGAAATTTGCTAGATATCATTCTAACTTTTTTCCTTTTGAAAGTAACAGTGAAGCAGAATGTCCTCTACTAGAAAAAATTTTTATTAAGAACAAAATTCGTATTGCAAATGAAAGACGAAATTTCTCTAAGTAAAATATATTGTGCTTGGAACATTTTCTTTTTGATTTTAGAAAAATTCTCTTGAGGCCATATATAAGAGGATTTCGCTAGAAATAAGATTCTATTTTTTTTGTTTTTCTATTGTTTATACATGGACATGCAATGTGTCTATATCTGGACAGTTTAATATTGGGGATTACAGATTTTTTTTTCCCTCTAAAGTAGGGATTTATTTTTTTGTCAGAGACCGTCAAAAAATGTCGAAGCTTTTTTCCAATTTTGCATATTTTCTCGATTATTCACCGTCACGTTTATGGCTGAAAGCTCGTGTACGCGGACAAATGTTTTCGAATTAGAAGAATTTATATGTCTGCCCTCTCACCATTGTTTCCCGAATAGCCACTCTTGATTTTTACGCTCTTTCTTTACCCATTTGCTCCTCTCGTTTCCGTCTCCAGGGTCCGTTGCGTTTTCTTCCCGCTTCCTTTCATGAACCCGGCGTCGGGGCATTGGCGAGGAGAGTTCGTCTGGGAGTTGCTTTCCTACAGGATAGCTGGTCCGTCTGGAAGATGGTGGGGACCAGGTTATCGACTGTCTGGCGGAGGGCACGGTTTGACCTTCGCGGCGTAAATCCCATACCTCGCGGCGCCGAGAATATATGCGTCTGCCGGATAAATCGTGCCGAATAAATCCTCGCGGGTGTTGCGAGATTATTAACATTTTCATAGGATGAGACGAATAAGTTAAGCGTGGTCGTTCTCCTAGAATAGCAAAAGCTCCATTAGTCGTTTTATCGCGCACTCGTACGACTCTCGTGACTCTCATTGCTTGATATGTTGAATTTTGTGTGTAGTTTCTGGTTTTTGTACGCTTCTGGCCCAGCTTTTCCACTTCTATAATTCAGCTCTGCACCTATCTCTAATTCAGTTGTGTGGTCTTGCTCGGGTATGGGTAAGAGGATTCGCGCGCAAGCCACCACCGTCGAAACGAGTGTAATTTGCTTTCAGGTGTTTACGAATTCGTGCCATTAGAAAGCGGCGACGGCGAAAGGTTACAGATCAATGCGCAGAATTGCATCCATTGTAAGACTTGCGACATCAAGGATCCGAGCCAGAACATCAATTGGGTCGTGCCCGAGGGTGGCGGCGGGCCTGCCTACAACGGCATGTAAAATGGATCAGCGATTCGTCGATTTCAAATTGTTCGACGATTTCCAATTATACTCTCATCGATTCGATATAGATCTTACATATTTTCTTTCATAGAAGCATAGATATTTTGCGGCATTGTGGTCACGTTTTCGAATGTACAAATCGTGCTTCAGGCGCATTCAATTGTAACTCACAACAAACTGTGGATTAAATTCGCGCCATTGTGATATAATTATTAAACGCACGACATGAATGGAGAAGTTATTTCTGGTTCGGATGATTAATACAATTATACGATATTCGCTCGAGGGGAAAAGAGGGAGACAATGCGAGAGAAAAAAACAGACGGTCCGTCTCCTTTTTTTCTATCCATTCTCGCGCATACATGTCAATTTTGAAACTATATATAAATAACTCTTTGTCCATCAGGGCAGTTTGCAAGATTTATTGTTTTGCCGGGGATAACAGTTATTGAACCGTATATACATATCGTCGAACGGATTGGGGGAAATCACATGGTACATTAAATTGATGAAAACCTTGAAAACGTCGGTGCGCCTTTTGTGTGATAAATTTTTTAAATTAAATGTTTTTGGAACATTTAAAAAGGAGAAAAAGGTTTTTATACAAATATAAGTACATACATATGTACTTTGTTCTATATAATTTGTAAAAGCCCAGATTTGTATACACAAACTAAAAAAATCAAACAAACACGACTGCTATTAGGTTTAAATTAATTTGTATAAAATATATAAGGAAATTTTGATTTGCATATTATATTTTTATACAAGAGGAGAATATATGAAATATACTTATATATTATATATTTACAATCCAAGTACTTTTGAGATGCAATTTTTCTTCGTTACTGTCCTCTCTTTTGCAAGTAATTTAGCTCATATCCGAGCTTTTGCTCCCTTTCCTCCTAAATGTTTACTCGGTTGGAAGAGTGAAACGCATTCCCACATCCGTTTTGAAGACTCAATATCGTCCAATCTCGCTTTCCTACTGAAATTCGCGTCCCAGAACGCGCGTAAATTTTTACGGTTCGCATTATTTCGTATTTGTTCGCAACACCTTCTACCTGCCGGTATCATGATTTCCTATGAGACCGTCCGCGGGATGATTGAACAACGTCTACAGTTTGCGATAACTTACGATGTGCGAGGATGATTTATAGGAACGATTATAACGCGTTTCGCGCGGCGCAGCGAGCCGGTCTACCTGCGTAATTTATCTTAGGTGGATCCGAGTGTGCTCTTCGAGTGAATTTAATAATATTGAACGATTTTTTATCGAGCTCGCCATCAAGTCGACTTTTGCCGAAAGCATTTCTCATAATATTTGATCTTCCTGGCATACTTGCGCCGCCTGGTAAGCTCCCCGTTCTCTTATTCTCTAGCGATCCGCGGAGATTCACGAGTCGGAAGTAAACGCGACGTCTACTATCTCGCGCTCTTCGGGAAGGATTGTTTTGCGCGATACGTTTCTCTCGAAAACGACGGTGATATATACATTCGTGTGAAATACGCGGATCTTATATCTGCGTTGGCCACGAGAAGTGGCAGATCCGCCGCCGCTGATACGGATAAAATTTATTACGTGATGTAACTTTAGAAGCGGACGTAACGGCTGTCGCTATTGCCGCATGCGCGTTGTAAAATTGTCACATTATATCACCGCGGAAACCGACGGAGAGAGGAATTAGAAAGAGACAAACAGAGAGAGAGAGAGAGAGAGAGAGAGAGAGAGAGAGAGAGAGAGAAATTTTCTCTCACAAGCGAGAATTTACGCGCGAGTGCCACGATATTTATTTACTCTCACTGTAGCTGTTTTAGATTGAAACCGCGAGAATAATCTTGAAAGAGTTGTTTCCTTCGACGGCGATATTGCTTTTACGCACGTATTCAGAGACACATACACGCTCTCGCAGCATAGCGAGTTATAAAATTCAGATTTTATTCAACCGATCCCCCGAACGTATTCAACACTTCATGCAGTATGTTAATTCGAAACGAGCGTGCGAAAACAACGGATATCGCGAATATCCCGGCATCATTTCTACATGACATACATTCGAGAACGAGCAGGACGCGCAGACGCGACAGATCGAAACGATCCGCTATTATGCTAAATTATCCGCGGGTGTGTTTTGATTTTTGCACTATTGTCGCTGGGGGGAATGCGCGCGGGGCGATCTAACAGATTGCAGGCCTGCATTTTTAAAGAAGTTTTTCCCGCTGATCTCGTACGGCGAACAATACAAAATTCAACGGACGCACGCACAGTCAGTCCGCCTTTTACCTACGACAGTTTTTTCCCCGAAGTGATCGCCCAAGCGGTCGTTACACATTTACGTGCGCCCCGCGTATAATGGCCTTTGGCCGGTAATTACAGTCGGACGGTAGTCGTTCCGCGCAAGCGGTGCTTTGTCCGCTGCCTCTGGGAGGTCAACTAGCCCTTGTGGAAAATTTTTACGGCGTGGCGCTTGGCTAAGCCGTAAGATTCGCCCCGACATCAGCGCCTGGAATACACGTGACTTATAGCCAGTCGTGCTTAATCAGGGAAGGTCCGACTTGCCTCTTGGCGAAGGACGTGATAAAACTGCGAACTGCTACCGCGGTTTCACGCGCGAATCCGCAACCTGCAACTGCAGCGATTTAACAGAATTAATCGTCGAGTGGTGCGCAAAGAGCACAGAGAGAGAATGCTACCTACACGCACTATCGACAGCCGGATAGAATTCACTCTGCGGCTGATTGGTGTCTGGCCGGATAGCTCGTGCAAAATTTTGCTGCCTGCCTTTTGGGCCACGGTGATGATGGCCTCGCAGATCTTTCAGTACTGGTACATTTATACACACATCGGCATCGACACCTTGCCGGACCTTTTGTACTGCCTGAGTCTGTGTTTGTCGAACACACTGCTGTTTTTGAAAGTGAACGTCCTTTGGCTAAACAGACGGTAAGAATCGTTTTAATCAGCTATATCGTCAGTTGACATCATATCAACGAATATACAAAAGTAAACGTCTCTGTGTGATTTCACGATTTGCGATTATCCTACGGTGAGAGAAAAATTATCTTAAAATCAACAAATATTTCCTTGGTGGGTGCCATTAACATATTTACTTAAATCTACATTCTCTTTACTTAAATCAAATATTGTTTACTTGATTTAAATAAACAATATTTGATTTAAGTAAAGAGAATGTAGATTTAAGTAAATATGTTAATGGCACCCACCAAGAAAATATTTGTTGATTTTAAGATAATTTTTCTCTCAGTGTACGCAACAATTGGTTTGAGATTTCATGCAAAAATGTCTTACATCTTTCATACCTTGAAAGATTCCGTACAGAATAATTTAGAAACATCTCGGCACGCTAGTTCAGAAGCAATAATTTTAGTTCGAGTACTTTAATGTTATATTAATTAAAATTGATTGATTTACCTTTTATTTTATGAAGAGAATATTATAGCTTTTTTTCATATAAATTTTTTTTCAATGTTACTAGTATGTTTCTGGTAGCGCAAGAATAGATATGTCAATACAACTATTAATAAAACTTATCTTCTTAAGCAACACAGTAGATTTCAATAAGAAGACAAAACTTCTTAATATTCAATTAATAAATAATTATAATATGACAAGTAAGAATATATCGCCGTTGGTTTAGCACAAAATATTATATATTCAGCATATTATTATAAACACTTTGGTCTCGGTTTAGACCTTCTTCAGTACATAAACATAATAGTCGATTACAGTATAAAAAAAAATACAAAATTGAATAATCTGATTGTGACTGATACCAAACAATCGTATATCAGAATATTTAGTGATAATATTCTTCACACTAATAATATCAACAATTTTAGACAGTGCTTAAAATGCACAATCATTTGATTCTGCGTTTTATTTTACTGTAATTAACTATAATATACTGAACTATCATATATATCAGCTATTATGTACTGAAGAGGGTCTAAACTGAGAACGAAACGTTTATAATACTATGTTATAATAATATATTGAATATATGATAGTTTGCGCGATATATTCTCATTTGCCTTATTATAATTATTTATAGTAGATTTAGCTAGAAACTTGCAAATTTTTAGCGTATTTTTGCAGTTCTTAAAATGTAAATAGCACATATAAAATAAAAGAATAGTCAATTACTGTAATCTATTCCTCAGTTACAAAATTCTATAATAATTTTTCTTCGTTCTAAAATTCTCTTCGTAATCTTATAAATATTGTTATATTAGATGTTTTTCTTAATTGGCGCTCATTAATTAGCGGTATTATTCCTTATTAAAAATTAAGCCGGGAAGTTGCGCACTATTTTCTTTGGCGATGCTTGATAAAATAGTAATTGTTGAGTAAAATGTAGCCAATCAGTGTAGCATTCCGCCCTCCCTATGTATACTATAGGCTATGTACACTGTAGATGCATGACTCACGGACATGCGCTGACATAAAAAGCGTTGATTGGCAAGATTTCATTTAATAATAACCATTTTATCGAGCATCTCAGAAAAATATGGTCAAGGACTTTTTGATATAATTTTCAATAAAGAATAACGCTGTATAATTAATTAATGATCAATAAGAAAATACACTATGTGCATATAAATATCATAGATAACATATTAATATAACATGTAAGTAACATAGGTAACATATTATGACTTTATAGATATTTTTTAAATTTTATCTAGAATAAGAACGTTTCTCATCGGAGTTCATAAATCCCTTTAAAATATGTAAAAATTTTCATAACATTTGTTCTCTACTTCTCTAATTTATTCTTCCACATGTCGAGAGATGTGTCTCTAAACTACTACACGTTAACGTAAATAGATGATTCATTAACCCCTTGATTGTGTGGCGAAAATAATATGAACGAAAACAATTGAGACTTCCGTGCCACTAGTGTGCGAAAAAAAGTTTCTTACATTTTTGTTACGATTTTAGTATTAAGGTTTTCAAGATCGTTGAATCCAAATATGATGTCAGAATTTCAAAATTCAAAAATGAATTTCAAATTCATTGGCGGGTCCAATGTAATGGATCAAAATTTGAAAAAATACGTCGACAATCATCCGCACGCTACTTTCTACATAGGAAGTATACTTCCTATGTAGAAATCGCCATAATAATCCAACTATTTTTTCAAAATTTTATCTGTATTGGGTCCGTTATTTTGAATTTTGAAATTCAGATATTACATTTATATTCAGCGACTTCGAAAATCTTAGTACAATTATTCTTATAAAAATCCAATTATTTTTCCAACTTTTGATCCATCATATTGGATCTATTATTTTGAATTTTGAGATTTAAATATCATATTTTTATTCAATGACCTCGAAAACTTTAGTACAATCATTTTTATAAAAATCCAATTATTTTTCCAATTTTTGATCCGTCATATTTGATTTACCATTTCGAATTTTGAGATTCTGATATTATATTCGGATTCAAAGACCTCAAAAACTGTAAGATACCAACCTTCTCATACAAATCGCAAAAGAATAAATCGGTTTTTTTAAAATATATATAATATGTATTACACACAGGTGGCACGTGCTTTTCTGAGAAAAATAATTTGCTGACCCAGCAAATTTTCTGCTGATATAGTAAAATCTTTTCGTTATTATATGGACAGCAAAAAGATTTGCTAAGAGTACTAATCACTATTTGTTGGATATAATTTGCTGAATCCACAGATTATTTTGCTATAAGAACCATGATGGATTTATATAAGCAGTTGCAGTTTTGCTTCGATAGCAAATAAATTTGTTAAGGATATATTATTTTGCATCAACAGCAAATTAACATGATTCTTAGGACAGATACACTCAACAAATTTTTTCTATCCTGGCAACAAAACTACTTCTGCTCTGATAACGAATAATTTGTAAAATTAGTTATGTTAACTAATTTTTTTTATGTCATTACGAATATTCAGTAGCAACGGCGATTTTGCTAAATTCTTTTTCTCCGTGTGCACACATATGATGCATACATATTCAAGTGCTTTTGTCTTCCATTTATTCATCTTCCATTTTAATAACTCATATCATGTTATCCAATATCAGCTGTTATCTTCCATTTTAATAACTCGTATCATGTTATCCAGTATCGTTTTTGATATTTTGATGACAATGACCGAAGACTGGAATATGCTCTCATCTATTAGTTCAAAGACGCAGATGGTAGACAAAGCAATTTTGTCTCATCGATTTTCGAAATGCATCATCGGTGCGTATACGTGTATGATCTTATTAGGCATAGCTAACATGAAGGGAATGGATTCTTTACAAGCTGACGGGCAAAGACAATTAGCCGTTAAAATGAATTTGCCGTTCGATTACAACGCGTCGCCGATTTACGAAATTGTCATGGCGACGCAAGTGCTTCTGCAATACACATTAGCGATCATGGCAGCAATGTTGAGCGCTTTCACTGTGTCATTAGTAAGTTGACTCCGTGGAGAGCGTTGAACTTCTTTCTTTATTAAGGCTCTGCTATTTCTGGGGCTGCCATATTGGTTTGATGACGTCAGAAGCGAGAAATGACATACCGAAAATCCCTTGCGTTTTATTGCTTTATTTTTTACTTTTTCTTGAAGAACCTAATATTTTCCTAATCCTGAAACCTGTAAAAAGAACAGCAAACTGATATCTGGCTGATATATCACGTAGCATTGTAAAATAATTCCTGAAATAATGCTACATTTTTCGGTTGTTACGATGGTTTGACAGCTGAGATATCAGCCTATATAAACACATTTAATTTCTCGATTTTCACAATATATCACCAGTATCACTGAGTTTGCTGTATATTTTACGACTATGAGGATCACGATAATATACGCACTTCACGAATAAACTGAAAAATAACGCGATAAAACGCAAGTAATTTTCCGAGGTGTCAAGCGAGGCCTAGCGTGAGCTTAGTGTCAGCCAATCAGCTACGTTGACACGGTTATTTCGTGTTCTCGACACTGCTAGGCGCCACTGTCAATTCAGACTTTCTGCGGCGAGATAGCAGAGCCTTAAGTCGCTGCGACATAAAAATCATCTGAAACAAAAAAGAGAGTTCAGTTTGAGTTACTGTTTTATTTTCCTTTTTATACAATTATTATATTTTTTATATGTTCGCATTGTAACTAGCATTTAGATAATTTTGCAACAGCTACGATGATCGTGTAGTTATCGATACGTTGACATTTTCACGAGATTTGTCGTATTCACGTTGCCAAAAAGAAAATAGAAAAATTACTTTGCCCCACTAAATATGCTTCAGATTGTTGATAAATCGCAGTTCCCCAAACAGTTTTGGATCGTCACTTTTAGGTCCTTCACATTGCTGGTCAAATCGAGATAATATGTCAAGAATTGTTGGAAATCTCGGTAACTGAGGATGAATCGCGCATAGCTGCGTTGAGAACTCTCGTGAACAAGCATCAAAGGATCATTGCATTCGTTGACAGTGTCGAGAATGTGTTCTGCTATATGTCGCTAATGCAGTTTTTCTCAAACACGCTTGTTATTTGCTTTTTAGGATTCTTGATTATGACCGTGAGTAAAATCCGATACCTACGCTCTTTTTGAACAGTATTTTGCAATTTGTCCGAGTGAACTGATTCTAAATCGCAGTCGCTCGATTCCAATCTCGTGCTGGTAAAGATCACCCCTTATTACATCGTCGTAAATGTAGAAGCGTTTATACTTTGCTTCACTGGCGAATACCTGACCTCGAAGGTGAGAAAGCGACGGAGAGAGATTAATTATTTTCGCACTACCTATTTAGCCAAGAGATCTGGATCGATTGATCCCGGGGCTTGTTTAACGCGAGTCACGTTCACATAAATGGGGTGAGGTAACAAACAGTGAAATTTGATACACGATTCTCACACGATTATTCAACATTCATCACATAGAGATACCTATAATGATTAATAGCACGACGTAGGAAGATCTATCATGGTTAATAATGTTATGTGGAAAGATCTGTCATGATCAATAATATTATATAGAAAGATCTGCCACGATTAATAATATTAGGAAAGACCTATTACGATCAATAATATTACATAGAAAATAATACAATAACGTAAAAAATAATATAAACGTAGAAAATGTTATCGCTATTTTAGAGCAAGCATATAAGTCAATTTGCATACGCGTCACTCTGGTACGAGTTGAAGCCTACTGAAAGCAAAATCCTGATGCTGCTGATACTGAGGTCGCAGAAGCAGTTAACTATTACAGCTGGAAAATTCGTAGAATTGTCTCTGGAGAGTTTTACACAAGTAAGAAATTTGTGACGTCCTTTTCCTGCGTGAAAATAACGATATGATTGAGCACTGGGATTTAAATACCGCGAATTTTACGGGGATGCTGAAGTCGATAACGAACTCGTACAATATCGATGACGCAGAGACGATCGTCACACTAATATAACACTATCCTCTTATTATTTCTTGTACATACAGAAGTCAAGTAAATGTGTGTTGCTTTGTTTCATATTTAGTGGAAAGCCTAACCACGCATGTGTAGAAAATCTTTCTGCAAACCTTTCCGATATCCTTAAACTTCTGAATTTGAAAAGATACAGCAATATTCTTCAAAATTTTTCTATTTGGAGCATCCACACTTTCGGTATGTACAAGCTGTGGAACTTTTGGATTAGATAAATATTACGCTGAAAGTTTGAGATTTTACACTTAAAATATTTTTTTCATTTTTGTTATATATATATTGAGTAATGCTTCTATTTATTTTTGCACATACTTTCATCACATAAAAACATTTGTAATTCTATACAACTAATACGATGTAAACTTTGCAGAAAGATGTCGGTATTCTGTCGGTAAAGTTTTCAATTTCAGCATCCCCTTAAGATCAACATTCTTACGCAGATGAACTTGACGAAATTTATATCGTTTTCCCCTCGTAGATCCTGAAGGCCTCTGCGTCTTATATGTCGGTGTTACGCGTCATGTACTAAAGCCGCAGAGATTCCGTACAAGTGTGAAACGTGACTTGAGTCTAACTCAACTAAGAGTGTAAGAAAAAGTTATAAACTAGTTTTTGAATAGATCATACGCAGATTATGATACGCAGATTATATACGTAATATTTTCCTATATACATACATCTTTATTTTTCGTGCTGGTTTCATTTGTTAGAAATAGGTTAGTCCATAAACGAATAAAAAAACATTAATTTGCTTACGCAAGAATCGTTTGTTCGATGACACAAGACACTTCATGGGTCGCACTAATCAGCATTTCTCTTTCCAAATAGCACAAAAAACGTACCAAAGGATATTTATTACACGGCGATAAATTCTTTACTACATGAACGACGCAAGATTCGAAAGGGAAATCCGCATTCTTGATACCGCGTTCGCGAACACTGTGTGATGTTTTACACATCGGTTGTGCTGAGTACATCGGAGTCCCTCTCTCGAGCAGTCCTCCTCCATTTTGTTTTCGTTCGTGGCGCCACACCACGATACTCACCCCGACCGCTTCTGCATCCGCTTGCATTTTTAAAGCAAATAACATCCCCACTGCATCGCCCCCTTGCGATAACATTCGACGAGGAAGAGCGCAAAACTTATTACCTCGTTACTCTTTTCCACCGACAAACCTGAAATCATAGTTGTCGTAGTTTCCTCTTTTATAATACGCCACATGTGTGCAATGAATAATTTCGATGACCGGTCGACGACCAGCGGAGGGTTGGACGACGACCCCGACAGAATCCTTGAGGATTACTCGAGGTTGCGTGGCGGCCGAGCCGGTGGGATTTTGTCGTCGTATCGAACTGCTAACAATGTGGTGACTTTTCGCCTGTTACGGTTAACGGCGACACCAAGAGAAAGCGAGGGTTTCTTGTCCCGCGAGCGGGTTAAGCCGGAGGCACGATCTTATTAATCAAGGGACGAACGCAAAATGAGCTTCACAACCACCACCGTTAGCCCTTCCGTTAAATTCGGGCTGCGCGCGATCGGAATTTGGCCGGGATCTCCGCACGTTGTCCCACATCGGGTCTTTTGGACGATCACTTTGGGTGTCGCTCAGACATTCCAGTTCCGATATATCCTTGGCTGTATTAGAGCTAACGATTTTCTCAATCTGGTGGACAGCGTGAGCACCACGCTGCCTTACAGCTTGCTCTGTGTGAAGCTGATCATACTCTGGCTGAATCAGAGGTAAGCCACTCTCTCGTGTATCTCGACACAAATTGAAAATGTTCCTCGTCAAGTGCGTATCTATTAGTGCATGCACAGAGAGAACGATTTATTGAATCAAATAAATGTTTCTTTGGAATAGTCCAAGCAAATTATTTGATTGACACAACACAAATATTTCTTTGGAACTAAGCCGCGAATAAATATTTTTGTTGCGTCAAACAAAATTTTGTTCGATCAATCAAAAAATTCGTTTGGACTATTCCAAAGAAGTGTTTACTTGATTCAACCAAATCGTTCTCTCTGTGTACGCCGAGCAGTTGACGCGACAGACGTTAGGACGAATTTCAGGTTAGTCGACGACATTTTCTCGTCGATGTCGCGAGATTGGCGCAACTGCGGTACTGTCGCTTTCAATGTGCGTGCCATGACGAATAAGGCGCATCTTTCGCGCCGATTCTCCTTGCTGATCATCTGTGTGTACTCGATGGCCGCTGTGGTTTACGTCTCCGTCATAATGGAATTCAACCACATCCATTCCGACGAGCTCAACAACGAAGAGCAACAGCTCTTTCTTAAGATGGAGTTTCCCTTTGATTACGATGTCTCCCCTATCCGTGAAATCATTCTGTTCGTTCAGTTTGCTCAACTGCTGAGTAACGCCTCAGTAATCGGGATGCTTGATGCGCTGATCATAACGCTGGTGAGTTCCTCTCATTTACTTTGTCCAGTTATCTCGTTTAGCAATATAAATGATGATTTTCTGTTTCTCGAACATGTCGAAAAATTCTTCATGAAAGTCAATCCATGTCTTAATTTAAATAGACCGCATTGTGATTAGCGATATTGTTTTGTCTCGACCCTGAAAAACTAAAATATATTCGGGCCAATCCAAGAAGATAGTTACGAATAATTATTTCTGTGGGAGAATAATAATGTCGACAATAATATCTGAGATAATTATTGGTGTTTTCCAATCCTGAAAATTTTCCAATCTATCAAATTAATCTAAATTATCAAATCGGCGAATATTCGTCTTTACGCCTTGTTTTTAGATGTTCCACATAAGCGGCCAGATAGATATCGTGTGTCACGATTTGTACGAGCTTTTCTCACAAAAGTATGAACACAATTCGTACCGAGAAGCTGCAGGCACGCTTATTCGCAAGCATCAAAATCTCATCGCGCTGTCCGACAATATCGAGAATTTGTTCTCTTACATCGCGTTGATGCAGTTCTTCACGAATACTCTTGTCATCTGTTGCATAGCAGTCGTGATCGTGACAGTGAGTGTCTCTCGTAGACAGCCCGTGCCGCTTGAGTATCTGTAAGTGTGCACGCTTACTAACAGTAATCTCCATCGTTTCAGTCACTCGAAAGTAATCAGGGATATATCGTGTTGTTGAAGTCTCTGTTCTTTTACATCGCTATCACCCTGGAAGCGTTCATTTTCTGTTTTGCCGGAGAATACCTCAGTAACAAGGTTTGAATTGTTGCTTGCCGTAAAAATGTTAGTTACTTAATTAATGATTTGAGTTTCGCTCAAAAGAATTATTTTGTTATGTGAAATTTTCGACACGGTATGTAATTTTTCGACGAATCAGTAATCCAAAGGAAAGCCGGTAAATGAGGCCAAATTTTGCTTCGCGCGATGGATATACTTCTAAGACATTTATGTTGTTTGGTTAGAGACGTGTAATTCACGAGATAAAATTTAAAAATATGCAACTGCATTTACCTTACGGCGCAGGTTACTTTTGCACAGATATATAGTTTTATTATAACAAACACTCAATATTTTCTCGTCCAATTGGACGCTGCTGTACTTCACTGTACACACAAATATGTCAGCTTGTAGTGATACGTCATAAGCTACTTTAAACTAACCTTTAAAAATTTTTCCTTGAAGGATATAACTCTTTGTCTAGCTTTTCTCTTTTCAGAGTAAATCTATCGCGAATGCGGCTTATGAGGTGCTTTGGTATGACGCAAAACCCAGCAAAAGCCGAATTTTATTGATTCTAATGTTGAGATCGCAGAAACGATTGACTTTAACAATCGGGAAATTTAACGATCTATCTTTGGAGGTCTTTGCGGGCGTAAGATGTTAAAAACTGTGTGTGTGTGTGTGTGTGTGTGTGTATATGTGTGTCTTTCAGATAAAATGTTCTCTCTAGTACACAGCAATATTATATTTCAGATTTTAAAAGCTTCTGCGTCTTACGTATCGGTGCTACTCGCGATGTCTTGAACAATGAAGAAATATCAATTACGAAGTATACGTGTATTTTGCAGACATATACAGGGTGGGACAATAGCATTGTGTCTACTTTAAATATATCCGTTATCTCATATATATATTTCATATAGTTTTGAAGGAGAGACAGTAATAATGACTTTTTTACGAGTAGAGGTATGTAGAAGATTTCAAGATTACCTTGAGTTTTTTAGATGGAATATTGTTTGAAATAGCGGAGATAAAAGAATTGAACAGTGTTATTGTACTTTGTATATTATCATTATAAATCATATATGAGTATTGTATATACAGGTTGTTACAGTTAAGAGGGGAAATATTTGGTGAATTCTGCAGGTCAAACCGAGTCGAAAAGTCCTCTACCACTTTTTTATTCGAGTTATAGTCATCGCGATATGACGAAATAAAAATGATATAATTGCACGAGTAACATCCTGTATATTCTCATGTATCACTTTCACGCACGATTCATTTCTTTCTTCTTCATAAATTTTGCAAACGTATCCATACAGCATAAATGTTTAAAAGACATTTTGAGACGTCCGAAAAATATCTTATATGTTTCAGACATCTTCAGGATATCTCTAAGACATTTATGTTGTTTGGTTAGAGACGTGCAATTCACGAGATAAAATTTAAAAATATGCAACTGCATTTACCTTACGGCGCAGGTTACTTTTGCACAGATACATAGTTTTATTATAACGAACACTCAACATTTTCTCGTCCGATTAGATGCTGCTGTACTTCACTGTACACACAAATACACCGGCTTGTAGTAATACGTCATAAGCTACTTTGAACAACTTCTAATCATCGATCACTTCGAACTTCATCATTCGTATATGTCTGCACGTTGTATTTTGAAAATTACATATAATTCAATACATTATTGTCGACATTATCGTCGTCTGTTGCGTTTCTTTATGCATTTTGACTGAACTTCCATGAAGATCCGCCACTATTCTTTATTCGGAAAACTCTTCTCGACGACGATCACACCGACGATCTTCACTCGCACAAGCGCATGACCGCGCTTTCCCTCGTTTCTTGCATTTTTAAAGTAAATTGCCCGCGATAACCACGATCAGCGGTTCGTCCGGAAGTTATCAAGTATTATTCTCGTTGATCCCTCGAAGTCTGCAATCATCCTTCGATCGTCGCAAACTTTTTTCCTAGCGTTGCTAAGCATGCTACAAAATATAATGTTCGCGATTGGTCGGTGACGGTCAAGGTGGGGCCCGCATCTGATCGTCCATATTAATATTTTGAGGCTTACCCTCCGGCAAACGTCCGGCGTTGCGAACAAAGCCGCATCCGGCTCGTCCGTCGACGTGACGGAAGCGGAATCTCAATCTAGCGCGATGATACCGACCAGCACCGTCAGCCAACAGGCCAAAATCGGCTTGCAACTCACCGGAGTGTGGCCGAATTCCTCTGTCTTGTTTAAGCTGCTCTGGACATCAATAATGATAATAGCACTGATCTTCCAATATCGATACGTTCTCTATCACTTCAACACCGACGATCTGCCACATCTGATAGACGGTTTGAGCACCACCGTGCCGTACAGTCTTCTGTTCTTCAAGTTGATTGTCCTATGGATCAAAAATCGGTATGTGTTCTCTATAGTTTTGCTTATCGCTTTTAATGGACGCTAGTTTTTGTACGGAGTGCATGATAGTTTCAGATTCTCAAAGGTTGACTGCCAAGTGAGATTATTTTTCATCCAAAATTTCCTGTCATTTAATCCACTAGCAGCCTATTTATAGTATTTTGTTTTGCTTCATGAATCATATAATTAGTATATATTTCTTTATTTTATGTTTTTTTATGTTTTTTTAGACGTAATTCTCGTAATTATATTCATGCTCTCAATAAAAGTAGTTCTAATATCTGGAACCTTTAGAGTCTAAACAGTCTGAATCCTTCAATCGAAAATGTTTGTGGAATAATTATGGTCTCCAATATTATGTTTTCTTCTTCACTCCTGAAGTTATCCCCTGGTAGAGACATTGTAAGGTTTACTGCCACTTAATAATATTAAAAAATTTTCGAACTCAAAGCTCGAATAAACTTACGATGGTGATGTAAGTGATGTAAGTACTGTTGGAAACTCTCTATTCGCAAATTAGAAATGTTATTCTGGATATTACAAAAAGGAAAGGTAGATGTTGGCAGTCAACTGGTCAAAATTGTACTTTTTTCTCGTCTGTCAATTGGCAAGAACGCATTTGGCACTTCGTAAATGTACAAGGCATCCGTGTTGTGACGCATCGCGAAGTGTTGCGTTGCAGAGTATTCATCGATATCCTGACGGCAATGTCCAAGGATTGGCGCGAGTGTTCCAGCATGCATGTCATGATCGACAAAGCGACGCTGTCGCATCGTTGCTCTAAATTGATCATCGGTATTTACTCGACGGCGGTGTTGCTTTACAGCACTGCGTCCATTGACTTCAGAAAGAATATCGATGTTTGTCGGGAGCTGCTCGTAAAAATGGAGCTACCCTTTGTCTTTTGCGAATCGCCAACTTATGAGATCGTCATGTTCGTGCAGTTCATTCATCTGATGGCGGTCTCTTTGATTATAGGAACAATCGATACGTTAATTGTTACATTGGTAAGTGGAAGAAATGGAGGAGGCTAGAACTCGGCTGGTCAATCTGTCAAAATGATCAATCTGTCAAAGTGTTAAATGTTTCCAGCTTTAACCATTGAGTTAAAGACAGTTCTAGAGTTGATCCTTTATAACTACCTTTAGAATTGATTATTTACTAACTGCTCTAATTTAAAATTGCTCTAGAATTGTCTGGTCAAAGCCCGAAGTGATTACGAAACTTTATATTTCTTCATTAATTTAGTTGGTTAGAAAATATAAACTTTCTTTGTTAATTTAATTATCTAAACCTAGAATTGACCAGACATTTCGCAAAGTGGTCGCGTGTCGGGCTTTGGCCATAACATTTTACAATATTATAATTTTCAATTATATGTACATATATATACAATACAAATACAAATATTAGTAATAATGTTCGTAATAATAACCACAGACTTTCACATATACATCTTTATTATATACTATACATACATTAGATTCGATAATTCCGTAGAGATTTCTACGAAAAATCTAAAGCCTGTACTTTTATAATTAGGTTTATAACTTTATTTCTTCTATTTTTTCTTCAATGACCTTCTGCTATTGAAAAAAAAAAAAAACAGTTAATGTATCATTGAATAAATTGCAGTTATGTCTAGCTACAAAAGTATTGGCTTTGAATTTTTCGTCAAAATCGCTACGAATTTACCAAACAATCCAGGATTTTATAATATATTAGATTGTTAATCAGTCTAAAACGTGAAACTGATTGACAGATTGCCAAAAAGACAGATTGAGCAGAAGTCTGTGGTACTAATATACGTGTCAGTTGCGTGAAACGCTGACAGATTCCTGAGAAATGAGAGAAGAAAATACTTAAAAACTTCTCTTTGTGGGATATAAAGTTTATTCACACAAGTAAACTTTACATCCCACAAATAAATGTTCGGAAATTTTTTCTCAGTGTAGTAGATTCGATCGCAAATATCGAAGATATCGATCGATATCTACGCCTCGAGAACCTTTATCCCTTCTCTCACGCGAGTCAGTCAAGCTTGCGCCCTTTGCGCGACTCCCACCACCCATCCATACGCCTTCGATTCACGATCCTTGCGTGCGCCGACGGAACGTTGCACTCGGGGTGATCCCCCGCTATGGTGAGACTCGCAGGAGGGGGTTCTCAATGCCGCTCTTTGGCTTATGGCTCCCAGTTGCTTCGCATATGCCGTTCTGCCTCGTGATATGAGGACACAAAGACCATATTCTTGCTTCTTTTTTTTTTACTTTGGACTCCTCCTGGTGTTTTGCCGTCACTGGTTAATCGTGCCCCCGTTTGGATCCAACGTTTCGTGCAAGTCCTTGAGTTACCGAAGCAATAAGTCTTGAAAAACGTTAGTACAGAAAATTAGAAGTGTTTGAAACAGTTGGCTCAGCCATCTGTTCTTCCTTTGTGTGGGCGCTCCTTTCTTTAAATTACCGTTTGTTGCGATGCTGCCGGAAACTCTCTCGTAACGAACGTATTATTCACTCCGTTGTACAGAGATCCATTTAATGGAAATTCAATCGGCGTATTATTACTGCATATTCTATATGCCATTCTCGAAGTGACGAAAGAAATTCTGAACAAAAATTAATAAACACAAAAGTGTCACATTTTGTATTTCTTTGAGATATACAATCTGTACAATCTGTGTAGAGATTTAATTTCTTATAATAAAATTTTCACTTATATATTTACCTTTTCATATTCTTGCTGGAAGGTTTAATAGCATGAAGAAAAATTTATTATTTCTAACATAACGTTTGTATCTCTCGTTTTCATCCTTTCCTTCCGTCAGTTCGATAACGTGTATAACCAATTATCATAACACGTAGATGCTGCACATTGGTGGACAGATAGATATCATACTTCAGCAATTGAACAAGATCTATCCCAAGGATGGCGAGTATGGCTTACCTACTGGCACCGCGAAGTCCTTAATTATCAAGCACTATAAAATCATTGATTTCTCGGACAGCATCGAGAACCTCTTTAGCCTAATCGCGCTAATGCAATTCTTATCGAGTATAGTGATCATGTGTTGCATCGGATTCCTCGTGATATGCGTGAGTACTCGACCACATTTGCAACTTTGTTCTGTAAGTGCTGAATATACGCCAACATTTTGATTGCACTGGTCGCGATGTTTCATATAAAAGTTATTGCCTGCACATTTAAACATCACGTTTGGCGGTTCATGCCTGCGCACTCGAAATCTGCGAGTTTCGATGCATTTGGCTGAAAACAAATAATGATATAAACTTCTAATTGCACTCGTGGACATCGTTTATTCTGCCGTTTAGAGTGTGCGTTTCTATCTTTAATACCTCGTCGAGCGCGCATCAATGATTCCCTCGATATTTTTTTTTGACCTGTTTGATCCGCAGACATTAGGTACTGATGACGGCATCAGGATGTTAATAAAGACCTTTTTCTTCTACATCGCCATGACCATGGAGTCGTTCATTTTTTGTTTCGCCGGTGAATATTTGAGTAACAAAGTGAGTAGGCGAGTTCGTCACTAATCCCACACTGTAAAAACTGATGTTAAATTTAACATTTCATGTCACTCTCATTTATGTGTTAAATTTAACATTTCATGCCACTCTCATTTATGTGTAAATTTAATACAAATGTGGTAAAAAATAACACGCATATGTAAAAAAAAAATTAACACAAGAATTTAACACTTGAATATCGTCAGGAATCACAGTTTGTGTTAACTTGACATATGTATAATGTTAAATTAACTAAAATAAAACGTTACTTTAACATTTGAGAAAAGTATTAATCTATGGTTTTGATGAAATGAAAGTGTTAAATTGACATAATTTATGTCTGACATATTAAATATGTCAATTTAACATAACCAGTGATTCCTGACGGTATTCAAGTGTTAAATTCTTGTGTTAATTTTTTCTATATTACCCATGTTACTTTTTAACATTTGTTTTGTGTTAATTTACAACTTGTGCTAAATGAGAGTGGATGATTTGGTACACATAAAATGTGTTAAATTTAACACATTAGTTTTCACAGTGTAAGTGCTTTTAACTTTTGCATTGGGTTGTTGAAAAATCGCTAGGCTCTGTTGCTGGTAGAAAAGTCTGATGCTTACATGTAAAAACGAAGCACTGCGCGTGTATCGAGGACGACACTTTGTTGTTTCCATACATCTGTCTGTCTGTCTGTCGTTTATATTGTAGAGCAAAACGGTCGGCGATGCGGCATACGAGTCTCTCTGGTATGTCCTTAAGCCGCAGGACAGCCGCATGCTGTTGCTGATGATAATGAGGTCACAAAGACGGCTGACGATCACCGCGGGGAAATTTATGGATCTGTCACTGCAAGGATTCATGAACGTAAGATTTCAGTAACCATGTAGTTTCAAGAGAAAACTGCAGTTGCCGATTTATATAGCCACATCTAAAATTAGTGATGACAAGTTTACATTGTTGTTCTCATTGTGCGTGTTAATGTTGAAAATAATTTTATATTTTACGTTAAATGTGCGACTACGTTTGTGTGTGACATGAAGGCCCGTATTAATAGTCATTACTTGAAACTCGTTTCAACTGAAATACTCAGATTTTAATTTAGAGTTAGATGGGAGTTTTTCAGTTGAATCGCGATTACGGATATAAGTGTCATATTTATTATAATTCAACTGAAGAGAACTTGGATTTACTTCTGAATAAAAATCTGAGTGTCTTATCTGAGACAGGTTTCAAATAACGACTATTAAAACGGACCTAAGAAAGTTATTTCATAATGCACAATTCCTGAAATTAAAGTCTAGATTGAATATACCTGTAAACAAATTTTTGATATATTATCGAGCGTTAATTAAATAACTTGAGATATAATTTAAAGATATACACTTAAATATATATATATATATATATATATATATATATATATATATATATATATATA